CCCCCGTTGCGCGGAGTGAGGTTTCTCGACCCCGCACAACATGATCTACTCGACCACCATTATGGTTACCGCCAAAAAAAAAAACCGAGGTAAAAAAAAAAAACGGTAACCTGGTTGCCGAGTTCACGAAGTGAATTGGCTTGTTTTACAACGTCGGGGGGAGGGGGGGGGCATTAGTGCAAGGCGATGGAGCTAGGATCCAGCATGTATCAGAGTCGACAAAAGAAAACATGCATTAATTAGTCAAAAGGAAGGCAGCGACATCGCGTGAAGGTAGTTTTAGCGTCGTGCTTGACGCGAAAGACAATTACCACCATCACCGACGTTGCAAATCACACCTTGCGCACTGCACGGAACTCGTACGAGTCATGTATGCCTTCATGGCTACCTGAAACCAGGGGGGCTGTATTTCCCAAGCAACTTCGATGGGGTGCACCACCAACTATCTTCAAGATGTTTCGGCACCCTTGCGCCAGGCGAGCTAGCTCACTCTTTTGTTGTGCCAATTTGTTTTTTACATGTCCTTCTCGTGTCCCGTCCCTTCACGCCTTTTTTTTATATCTCACCCCTTTCCGCCCTCTTAAACCAGACGAACGGGTGCGTCAACTTCTGCGCCGGCGAGTCTGATCCGCCCCTGGAACACCAGGAACCTGGGCATCGGGCGAAGAAGGCGACGCGGGGATTTCAGACGGTGCCGTTGAAGGACCTGGCGGATGGATCTCGAGAGTACGCCTTCGAGCGCAATCACCTGTACGGCGTGATCGGCATCCTCATCACCGCGGGAATCACCCAGAAGCGGCGGATCGCCGACCACTGGGGGTCGGAGCTCCATGACAGCTACCCCCTGGTCCGTGCCTGCATGCCTCGAGACCTGTTTGTCCTGTTCTGCGGCCGCTTCTTCCACTCGGCCCCGGCCACCGGCAAGCTCAACAAGGCTGATCCTCAGTACGACTGCAAACACCACATGTTCGACCAAAAGTTCTCTCAAGCTGTCAGCAACGCGTGGCTCCTGTTTTACGAGTGGGCTGGGGTGCTAGCCACGCAGTGTACGGCGGCGTTGGAGGTAGCGACCCAAGACGGACGGGTCGGCGAGGCTGGGGAGGGAGGAGCAGCCGCGGACGGTTGCGATCTCACGGTGGCAGAGCTTCGCGAGTTTCAATCCCTAGTCAAGAAGGCCATGAAGGTGGAGCGTGTTGACTGGGACCGTAGGCTCGCGAATCACCTCATGTCCTTGTGCAGGGTAGGTCGCACTGAGATGGGGGCAAGACGCACGACAAAACCTGTTGAGACGTACAGCGTGAAGGGCGCAAAATCATCCCTTGTTTGTCATGGGGGGGATTGCGACGCCACAAACGGCAGCCGGTACAAAGGGAGTAGGACTCGGGGGGTATGCTGGTGTGATACTTGCACGGATGGGTTGGGGAAGGACCGGGCGTTGATCCTGTGCACGAAGTGCAACAAAGTACCAGCAGCGCATGTTACCGCTAGGAAATATGCCGCCGCGAGAAAGTACAAGCCCATCTCTTGGTTTGAGGTGACAGATGAGTAATTTTTTGTTTATTGATTGTGATGTAGACGCGTGCAAAAACAGACCAGCAAGTGATCATGTCGCCGCCGCCAGAAAACGATCGGGGTGTGTATGTACCGTGCATGTCGTAGTCGGGGGGGGCGGGGGGTGTACTCATAGTCGTGCACGCCGTAGTCGTTAGACCATTGACTTCGCATGGGGGGGGGGGGGGGGGGGATTTTTTTTTTTTTGATGGCTTAAGGGGTGGGACCTTTACCCCCCCCCCCCCAAAAG